CCAGTCTCCGTGGATTTTACTTTCAGCCCATTTTCCCAGGAAGATAAAGATTGATCAATGGGTTCCTGAGGTGACCACTGGGGAGGTCGAAGGTAATGGGTATCTGTTTAAACTGCTGTCTGATCAGGAATAGTCCAAGTGGAGTGGAGTGTAGTAATATATATATATATATATACAAAAAAAAAAAAGCCAAGGGTAAAAGGAGCCTACTCCAGAGCTTAAAGCCTGAAGTGAACCCCATCCGCACTGGGGCTGATGAGATGATGATCTACCTACTCTACTCCTTTCACCCTTCACAACTTGGTGATTTTTATCCCTCAAGTGCCTCTAAAATGCTTACATGAACTCCTATCATTCATTGCCTTTTCAGCTGATTCAAAATGAATTATTGCCTTCCCAATCCAAAACAGTTTTACAACTAAGACTCCTACCCATTTCAAAATCAGACAAAAAATCCTGAACCTATCACCAACCATTTCATCTTTCTTCAAACTGGAGTTAAAAGTCAGATCTTGATTGACAATACCCACTGAAAGAAAACAAAAACAGGACTAGGGAGTGACATTTGGAAATATACCATCCTCGAATAAATTAAATGTACCTGCGTCCCAAATCTCACCAATAATGCGTTTAAGAATGATAATACATAGCAAGGCTAATCTCGTAAGCACATTCATTGGTCCCTCTCAATCTAGAACGGGACATAATCCAACCCACGGCACATGCCACCTTCCTCTTCAATCTCTAATCAATTGAAGCATCATTTGCTTGCCAAAAACTTCTCTTCCTTTTCCTCCACATCACCACATATAATCAACAGATACCAACAAACAATTCCAACCCAAAAAAGAAACAGCCAATTCTAATGATCCAATCAACCAAAGCTAGTGACTTGAATCTGAACATAGAAGTGAAAAGCATATACTTCTGGTGTATAACTCTCCATGCAATACAGAATATAAGAGAGGAAAAAAAATTCCCAGAACCAAAAACGACAACAAAGATTTAACTGACAGCATCATCGCCCAAAATTTCAAGATTTAATTGGTAGGCCACCATAAATTATAACCAAATGTACAATACATACATAGATCTGTGTAGAACTCCCATACTCACTTTAACTACATATACAGAGCAACCGTATCCGTCAATGGTTCAATCAACAATGAAGTTACACCTTACCATCCAGCACCCCTTCACCTGTACAAATGAAAGATGCTTTTTAGACCTCTAAACAACTTTTTGCAGAAAAAGAGACGCACCTTGAAAAAATACAATGTAACAAGATTCTTTTTCACTCGGGCAAAAGCCATGAACATGCAAATTTAACTGCAGATAAAGCAGAGTAATCTAAGCAAAAAGTCCCTTCAACTCTTGTATATTAGGACGCTGACACAATATAATTGAAACTTCCGTAGTGTTCTTTTCCCGCTAAAAGAGATACAAATACGTTAAGAGTTGTTCTTCATACATTTCACTACGCCACAGTATTTAGAGACCATTCAAACTACTGGTTATGTCTATGTTGCTCCTTTACTATTATATTCTGACCGATGACTTTGATCAAAGTGATTTGAGAGATTATGTGTAGTTGCCACTAA